AGGAAGCAGTCCCCTGGAAACTGTGTGTGCCCAGCCCCCTCCGTCGACGAGTACTGAGGGAAAACCACGACATACCAAGCGCGGGGCATATGGGTATTCGCCGAACAGTAGCACGGATTGCCAATCGGTATTATTGGCCAGGAATGTTTCGCGACATCAGCCGGTACATCCGTCAATGTGAGTCCTGCCAGAAGTACAAGGAGGCACAACACAAACCAGCCGGCAAGATGCTCTCGCAGGTCGCTCAAGAACCTTTCGCCACGGTGTGTGCCGATTTCATCGGACCCCTACCACGGTCCACGCATGGCAACACCATGCTACTTGTGTTTTTCGACAGATTTAGCAAGTGGGTCGAGTTGGTCCCCATGAGACAGGCCACAGCGGAAGGACTTCGCCGCGCGTTTAGGGAGCGTATCCTCGCCCGATTTGGTATACCCAAAGTCTTCATCTCGGACAATGGTGTACAATTTACTAGCACGCTCTGGCAGCGCTACCTCCAGGAGGTGGGGGTGCGCCAACAATTTACGGCCCCGTATACACCCCAAGAAAACCCGACGGAGCGCGCCAACCGCACTGTAAAGCGAATTATCGCACAGCTTACGAAGACACAACATAGGCGGTGGGATGACCTCCTCCCAGAAATCACACTCGCCGTAAATACGAGCGTCACAGTCTCCACAGGATACAGCCCGGCGTTCCTGGTGCAAGGACGAGAACCACGACTACCAGGAGCACTCTTCGACGAAATAAATATCGGGACAGGCGAAATAGCCCCGACGGCCGAGGAAAAGTCCACAAGGATGCAGGAAGCATTCAGGATCGTCAGACAAAATATGGAACGTGCCACGACCGACCAAGCGCGCCATTATAACCTGCGTCGCCGGGAGTGGAACCCAAAAGTCGGCGAGCTGGTCCTCACCAAAGAACGTCATCTATCTAAGGCAGCAGAGGGGTTTGCGGCAAAACTAGCCCCTAAATATGCCGGCCCCTACCAGATACTCCGATACGTTTCCCCGGTCATCGTGGAGCTACGGAAGACCGACGACGGAAGGACAAGAACGGCGAACCTGGCCGACCTGAAGGCGTACAAGACGGCCGAATTACAACAACTTAGCAGCACGGAAGAGGAGGAAAAGAACCATAAAAGAAATTAAATTAAAGTTCTAACCCAAACGAAAAAAAAGAGGCGCAAAAACGCGCGCACATGCTGAAGGTATTCCAGCAACCACCGGAGGCAGGAACACCACCGCCACCACCACGACCCACAGAGCCTCCAGAGGCAACAACACCACTACCCTCACCGCCACACACACCAGTACCACCAGAGGTAGCACCACTGTCAGCGTCACCCCCCCGAACACCAGCACCGACTGAAGCAGTATCACAACCACAATGCTCGTCAACCCCACCAATGGGACAAACGGTAATCCCCGCCGACGAAATCGACGGGCCAGCACTAGACCAGTTCCCGGAGATCGCCGAGAGGGCCCGGAAGGCTATACGCGACATAGCAGAGGGAACCTGCCCGTCCTGTGTGAGGTTCCGCGCGGGAGGATACCGAGTCAACGTATACCGGTGGGGCGCAAGTATAGTTCAGAAACATCCCAAGCCTTAAGCCTGCCGAAGAGGGGGGGGGAAGTGTGAGGACTAAATATCCGCGGAATTTAGCCCACACGAACACAAACCCCTACACCAACAATAACGACTACAGCAACATCATCGAAACGGCTAACCAACACGGGAGACCGTATCAACACTCCTTTGCGACACCGTCACCATAGCAACGCAACATGTAGCCACACAACTCAGCAACACGAAGAACACCAGCTATAACAGAAGTGACTCAGAAACATACGAGTCAGTCAGCACGGAGCTGTGGTCGTGAACGCACAGCTACAAACGAATAGCGCACGACTTGTTGATAGGCGACTAAACAAGGCTTGTCTATTCAAGGGTAGAGTGCCGCCACTCCGCAGTACACCGTGAGTCAGCCGACGGCGACGCCAGTTCGCCCACCAGCACAACGCCGAAGTCACCCAGCAGCCGCGCACCAACGGAGAAGCGCCGAAGT